GATCTTCAAACGTCAATTCCGTCTACTACTTTACAACGCTCACGAATATAGTAAACACATGATTTAATGTTGCTCAGGAGCAAGCCTTCAATCGACTTACACCGGGCTATCGTACCATTATTTGTATGTGAGGGTCAAACTTAACTGTAAATGTCTGAACAGAATCCCATGGCAGACAGTCTTTTCGTGTCTCACCATCCATTTTTGTCGTGTCAGATTTGAGAACCGGTTTGGTTTTACGTTTGGGATTAATTTATTCTCAATTTCTTTACCGTTCGTCCCTGAGAGGTGAGTTTTCCCCAGTATACACCATAACTTAACATTCCAAAACTTAGTTTACTGAAAGCTCCACTGGATGTCAGTCAGTCAGCTACAACGTAGGACCAGGCACATATGTGCATCAATTCAGGTTGCCATACCGCATCAGCACAACAAGATGAACACCGGATTCATAGCAGTGGTTAGGTCAAAGGTGGTAATATATAAGAGAAAGATTGTATATAGAGATATAGTACAAGAAGAAAGAATTGGTTCGTAGAAAGAAAGATATGAAGTGATTTTAATCTCTTAGTTTAAGGGAAGACAGGGACTGTATACACCGACGCCATTGTGATCGACTCTGAGCCATGTCATCAAGAGTCTCCAACCATTGGTTACGAAAGTCACGCGGACCCCAACCAACTAGTCTGCATCTACCAACATGGCTCAGACTAGAAGTTAGTGTCTTCAAGCACTGATGCCACGTTTTGGTTTCGCCACCCCTAACTTTCTTCCAACCACCTCCAACACCGGTTAGCATTACGCGTCGTGATAATCAGTGTTCAGGCATACGTAACACGTGGCCCAACCATCTCAGTCGATGAAGATTCATAACCTCATCAACTGATTTACCATCATTACCTAATACCCTGCGTCTAACCTCACTATTACTTACACGGTGATCCCAGCAGATGCCAGCAATATTTCTGAGGCATCTGTGGTCAAATGCTAGTAGCTTACGAGTGTCTTCTACTCTTAGTGGCCATGTTTCGCTGCCGTAAAGTAAAACAGAACGGACTGCCGTGCAGTATACCCGTCCTTTTATTGATAGACGAATATCTCGCCTTCGCCAAAGGTGACGCAAGTTGGCAAAAGCCAAACGAACTTATTGAATCCGTGCTGAGATTTCGTCAGACACCAACATATTAGGGCTGATCAGACTTCCAAGATAAGTGAAGTTGCCAACGCGTTCGACTACTTCACTCCCTATCCTTAGTTCAGGTGTTGACGCAGACCAGTCCCGAAGCAACAACTTGCATTTAGAGGGAGAGAAGCGCATTCCAAACATCCTGGCATTGTTGCTCAGTGCTACCAGAAGACTCTGCATTTTGTCAGCGTCTTCACCAAACAGGACTGTCATCTGCGTATTCTAAGTCGATAAGTGGACCTCCTGGAAAGAGATCAATACCCGAGAACTCAGTCGACGAGAATGTTATTTCCATCAGTAGGTCTATGATGAAGTTAAACAAAAATGGGGAAAGTGGACAGCCTTGACGGACACCACTTGAGGTTGCAAAAGTAGATGACAGTTCGCCATAAGCTCTGACTCGACTAGTAGTGTTCGGGTAAAGAGCCCTCACAAGGTTTATGTACTTCTGTGATACGCCTTTCAATGACAGACACTAGCACAGAATCTCGCGGTCTACAGAGTCAAATGCTGCTTTTAAGTCGAGAAAGACCACCATTGTCGGACGCCGATAAGTATGCCTGTGTTCTAGAACCTGACGAATGGTGTCTGATAATTATCGAGGCTAGTATTTTAGATATTATATTAGTTAAAGTAATCCCTCTGTGGTTGTCACAGGATGATTTTGACCCTTTCTTATATATTGGGACGATAAGTGATTGTGACCAGTTAGATGGGATAAAGTCTAACTCCCAGATCTTAGCTAAAATATTAGTCAACCTAATCGCTAAAATTGGACCACCATCCTTAAAGACCTCTGGAGCCAGTCCATCTGGACCAGCTGCCCTTCCTCGTTTCAGATTAACTATAGCCTTTTGAACTTCAGCAAGAGTCGGGGGACCTACTTCAATGTTCCATTCACACTGTCTGGGAATGGAGGGTAGTTGTAGAGTAGCTGAAGGCCAGTTGAACTGTCCTCTGAAATGTTCCGCCCATCGTTCTAAACGTCTGGACTGGGAGCAGATGAGAGTATCGTCTTTTTCCGATATAATCTCACTTACACTTGACTTATTAATTCCAGTTTCTTTTATTAGTCTGTAAAGCTGTCTTGTGTTCCCTATAGTCGCCGCCTTTTCCATTTCTTTTGCTTTGATTGCCCACCACTGCTCACGGTCGTTTCTTAGACTTTTTCTTAACCTAGATCTGATTTGTTGTCGATCTTCATCATGTTCGGAACCTGATGGGACGAGTTTGCGAGAATCCATCAGTGTGATAGACTTTGAAGAAATCCATTGGTTCTTTGTAACCCTGTGGTTTAAATCACTGGTAGATGTTACTGCTGTTTCCACAGCTGTTTGTATGGCTTTCCAAGCAACAACTGGGTCAACCTCGTTTTCAGAACTACCTAAGTGTGACCTCAGTTGTTCCTGGAACCTACTTTTGGTTTCCTTGCTACTCAGTTCGGTTCGAATGGGTCTTTTTAGTGTTGCTTTTTTGCGTCCAGTGAGGCGCAAGCAGATGCGTGCCCGTATTAGGGCGTGGTCGGAGTCCAAGCAGGTACTCCAGAATGAGCGACAATCTTCTACCGACCCTCTCCAACGATGACTGATGGCAAATAGTCTATTTGAGTCCATCGTTGGTTTGGTGTAGGGGGTCGCCATGTTAGACGATGTCTCTCCTTATGCTTAAAATTTGTGTTTGCTAAAAATAAGCGATTGTCTGAGCACAGTTGCAGCAGACGGTCACCATTATCTGTTCGCTGTGTCGGAATACTAAAATATCCACCTAAATGCCTTTCTGTTTGGTTTAAGCTACCTATCTGAGCATTAAAATCACCTGCTACGAGTACTATGTCTGAGCGTTTAGCTTTCTGAAGAAGTTCGGACAGCTTTCTGTAAAATTCATCTTTCACATCATCTGAGCTGGAGTCAGTGGGAGCGTAGGCAGAAACGACGAAAAGGCAACGACGTGTATCCCTATCCTTCCGAGTTCTAACGGAGCCGTTTAGCCGAACAGCACATAGACGACTGTTGACAGGGATCCACTCTAGCAGTGCTTGTTCCGCCCTCATGCTTAGTGCTATGCCTACACCTGCCAGTCCATGAGAACTGGCCATCGGGTCACCAGATACACGGAGGGTGTATCTCGTTGGCTCTCCGTCTTGCCGAGGTGAGGTCAAGTGAATGACCACACTGGAATCCTGTATGCGTGTTTCGGAGACACAGCATACATCAGTGGAAAGAGACTCTAGGGTTTTAGCCAAGGAAGCCTGCTGGATGTCCTACTAGGATAATCCATATTACTCCGGAATATTGGAAACAAACCCATTAATAGCCTGTCCTTAGTTCTATCCCGGTATTATATATGACTTGGGAATGTAGCGGAATCTTGCTTCCCGTACAACATCCATGTCAGAATGGTGAAATTCATATGTTACATGACCTATATATGAAATCAAACCAAACATAGCCATGAATGAACTGGTTGGAGGAATTCGTGAAATATAGTACTTACTAGATACAAGAAATTTGAAGGTAGCATCCATCGGTAGTGATGTTTTCCGGATTCTCAACTCATCTTTTGTTAAATGTGCATCAAATCATTAGATTAAAATTACTTTATACCTTTCTTTCTACGAACTAATTCTTTGTTCTTGTATTATATCTTTATACGCAATCTTTCTCTTATATATTACTATCATTGAAGTAACTGCCTCTATGAATTTGATGTTTATCTTGTTGTGCTAATGAGGTGTGGCAATTTGCACCGATGCATATATGTGCCTGATCCTGCAGTGTAGCTGACTGACTGATTGACCAAAATGCAAATATTTAAGGTAGCGATTTCGAATAATATACTTAGCTTTGTAATGATTATACAAGTTACTACATCATGTCCTATCTCTTGAAAAAAGTCTTGTTAGCCGACTAAAACTGATCGAACGGGACGAAAACTATCAAGGTACATGTTTTGTCGAGGGAACTTATTCCTAAAATGAACTTAGGGTGAACCACATTGAAATAAACTAATGCAAAGTTGTAATTTTGTGTTGAATAACCTTGTTAATAATCTTATGTGATTCATAAGAAAGTATTTGAACAGTTTTCTTATTTCTTTTACTGTCAGTTTTTTCATTTTCCTTTCGTTGATTTTCCTGTTGGTTCTGGTATAAATTCCTTGCCGGTAGTGTATAAATACATTTTGTAAGGTGCTACATCGTCTGTGATATGACTAAATTAATAGAACCAGAGAAATATGCGCACAGTCTCATGAAATTGCGTGGATTTAAGTTATCACTTATTAACATTATCAGAAATACTAGTGAACTAAAAATACTGAGAAAAAACTTGACGGCCCATTAGTCGAGCAAATCAACTTAGTGAGAAGTACAGACATGTTAAATATTAGTTAAATGATAGTGTGGATACTTCTGATCTAATGTTATCGATTTCTATGTTACCTTGCCTCTACCTGTTAATTCTGGCCTTCGCGAGGATCGTATTCAGCAAGTCTGTGTTGTAACACAATTTAACATAATCTAAATCTCAAGCTATATACTTTTTCTCTATGTATTCGAACTTTCCCTTTATTAACTTCATTATTTGCTTGCTTTCTTGACCTTTTTCGGTGCTGTTCGTGAATTGTCGAAACTCAAAGACTTGTGTTTCCCTTCCCAAAAATGTCTTGAAAGATTGATTCTGGATATGTAGCATGATGGCTTAAATTCGAACAAATTTCCGTTGTTGGCGTGATAAATGCTCATATATTGTGTTAAATAAGACGTATATTCTCTTCTATTTGAAAATGTGTTTTATTTTTTTCTTTCAGACAGCAGATGGACTTCCTGGTGGAAATAGATGATGAGTTGGACTATGTTAGTTTATGGTATTTCTATTAATTTGGTTGATTTGGCTATTGATTTCAAACTTTGTTTATTGTGTAATATTATTATTATTTGAACACTTAAATATTGGTACAAAGGGCACCGAATACATATGCGCCACACAGATCACTTGATTTGTGTGTGGCTTGTGATACTTCCCGGGTGCCCAGACCCAAGAAGGTGGTTTTTTTAGGGGGTCACACCCGGAGCCTTCGATCTAAAGGTTTGATCCTTAAGGTAGTGGAGCAACATCAGGAGGTGCAGTCTCATGGTAGCCGGTGACCAACAATTGGTTCATAATCCATTTGTTATTTCATGATCGTGGAGCCAGCCCATGTGCATTATTGGTTTGGAATCAGGGTTTTCCAACTCCCCTAGATTGACTGTCGTTGTCCACCAACCCGGTTGGAGCGTCAGACATTCGCTTTTCGTCCTCTCGATTTCGTAAACAACAAGCAGTATAGGAGTTCCTTGATATTGGCTGTATACGCGTGTCCATGTGAGTGCATTTCGAGAGGGTGAGCTAACTCTCCCCACCGTACCAGGGCAATCAGGAGCAATTGTATAATCCATCGTTGATATTTTATCAATATTATGAGGTTATTATCGACAGTTGTTTCTAATTAATGGCTTAATCCAATTATTTAGCTGCAAAGTACAACGCACGGAGTTTGTCTTTGTTCATCCTCCCTTTGCTCGCCGTTTGGACACATATTTCTAAGTTTCACATTACTTACTTCTGTTACCCCTCATAGAGAAGCATAAGCCACTCACCAGCATTCTCCATAGAACTCTGTTGTGGACAATCCTTCCCGGTTGTTTCCAGTTTCTACTCATTCTCTCGACGTCTGCTTCCAATTCCCGATGCAATGTGTTCCATGGTCTTCCTTGACTTCCTTGACTTTCTATGCTCTTGTTTGACTGTTTAACTGCTGTCTTCTTGTATTTCCCTACTTAAACCGTGTACAGAGTTTCGATGGAGATCTACTTTTTGTGATGATGCTTCTTGCGTCTCAGAACCTTCTGTGACGTTGAAGTTAGTGCTTCTCTGATCCGCTTTCAATTGTCTTCTATAGTAGTTTCCTCTTATTCGAACCCATTGCTGAGACTTATTTTGAATTCGCCGATTTTATCAGTATTTTGAAGGGAGACTATATTAAACCCTTGTAATGCTATTCGTCTAGTTGTCCAGTGCTTCTTAAGTTTCGATTTCATCTTGGCAACCATCAAGTGGTGATTTGAAGCTATGTCAGCTCCTCTCTTGGTTCTCACGTCTTCTGTTGACTTTTTAAATTTCTTATTGATGCAAATATGATCAGCCTGATTCTCTGTGGTGTGGTTCGGTGATAAGGAATTGGCTTTGTGTATGTGTTTGTGTGGGAATATTGTGCCGCCTATAACCGATTTGTTGAACTCACATAAATTTGCAAGTGTCTCACCACTTTCGTTTCTTTCTCCCAGTCCATATCGTCCTATGAAATCTTCGTATCCGGTGTTATCCATTCTGACTTTGGCGTTTAGGTCTCCGATCAGAGTGGTCAGGTCTTTTTCTGGGCACCTCTCTGTGATTTATTGCAGCCTCTCAGAAAACTGATCTTTATCGTCGTCATTGCTATCATTGGTTGGTGCATAAAATTGGATAAAATTCATTGTAATCCCCTTTTGATGATTCTGGATGCATGAGACTCCCGTCACATAAGTGCTTTTTGTGTTTCTTTGGATAGCATCAGTGCAACTTCCTGCGTGCACGGTGCTAGCATTTTCTCGTTCATGACCAGGGTACAACAGCATATCTCCCGAACCTAACCTTTTCTATCCAGCTTGTGTCTAATGGGTGTCACTTATTCTGATAACTACTAAGTTGTACCTTCTCATTTCCGTAGCTATTTGACTGGTCCTCTCGGTCTCCCACATTGTCCAGTCATTCCAGTTATCCATATTAATTGTTCATTCAGGCTGTTAAAAGGAGTATCTGCCGAGTGACTTCCGAAGAATCTCGGCTTTCGCTATAAGCCGTTAAAATTCTTTTAAATGAAGATCCTTCAACTTTCAGGACAAATGCCCTGGTACGGCCGAGAGTGGGGAGGGTCCGCTCTCCTTCTCGAAATGCTCTCACATGGCCACGTGTATATAGCCTCTGCCAGGGAAGTCCTACTCATTGCCTTCTCGTGGCGGGGGTGTTGTTTATGAATTTTAAAAGACCAAAAGCGAATGTCCGGCGCTTAAACCGGGTTGGTAGACATGGAGCGTCCACCTAGTGGAGTTGGAAAACCCGGATTGCAACCCAATGGTGCACATGGGCTGGCTCCAGTATCCTGAGCGAACAAATGGCGTATGAACCAATCGTTGGTCACCGACTACCATGGGATTGCATCTCCTTACGATGCTCCATTGCCTTGTGGATCGAAGGCTCCGGGTGTGGCCCGCCGAGGAAACCACCTGCTTCGGTTTGGGCACCCGGGCAGTATCACAGCCCTCACACATATCAAATGAGATCTGTGTGGCGCATATCTATTTGGTGCCTCCTTGTACCAATATCTATGTGTTAAAATAAATAAATAATAATTAAGTGGTTTAGATTGTTTTTTTCTGGTTGGCGTCTTTTAGTAAGATTATTTTCTATGAAATGAGGTTGCTGACTTCATGTCCAACCCCCTCTCATCCGGGCTAAGGATCGGTAGTAACCCCAGAAAGCCTATTGTCGTAGTGGGATTTGACATGTATAGAATCATTAAAATAAAACTCTCTCAGTAGTTTAGCATTCTTCTAATCCCTCGGTATCATATTGCCACATGAAATGTCGGTCATTTTAATCAAACTTCATCTTCATATCACGGAATATGTTTGGAGTTGTATTACGTAAGGGTCATTTTCCAGTCTCACAAGTTTTCACAAGTTGTTTTAATTTGTTTGAATTTTGTGGAACTCATGTGACATATATGTTGCGTTTTTTAAGTACCTAGGCATAAAAGAATTTGATTATATACTGTCGTTTTAATATGGATATCATCTTTACAGTTTTGGTCCTATTAATTGAAATCAGCGATAACTATATGTAGAATATTGTTCTCGGTAGGTTCTCATTAAGTTACATAATTAAATATCCACATTAATGTTCCCGAAGAAGCATTTTTACTGCAAATATATCTAAGAGTTACAGCACATGAATTTCAGAATTGTTAACAAAATAAAGCAAAATTGTTAGTATGTACTGTTGACTTCCATAAGTTTATACGTTAAATAATAGTCAGAATAACTACAGATAATAGAGCGAAGGGACTAATAGTACAATTGCGAACCAAACTAAACGTTTCTTTAAAGACGAAGTAACTCATGAAGTTATATAAAGTTAGTAAGAGATAGCAAATTGGGTGAGTGGTCATTAAATTTTCCATATATTTACGTGATATTAATAATCCAAAGATATTTGAATAATAATAATAATATCTGAATAAGATAAAATTATTAATGAAGACCTAAAACAGAAGGCTCTACGTATATTAGTCAAACTGGTTCCTTTCATAACTGAAATGCTTATTGACTTACTGTGTTCAAGGTTTACCATGGTATCAGAAACTGTGGAAGATGTTTCTTTTGTACACAAAACTCTAATCTTTCAATGTGAATAGCTTCTGCTGTTTGAAGGATTTTAAGTCTGATAGATTTTGGCCGAAAATTACTAACATTACAATCTGCGGGGAACGATTGATGTGCACTGCTAGTATAACCCGTTTGAATTGAATGAAGTAGTAAGGTAATGAATCTTCGTTAACTGTGGTGGCTTGAACATATTTGACTCATGTTCAACCACTGTCTACGCCGATAAGTGATATATTATGTAGGAACAGGTTGGAAGAAAGCTAGGGGCTGCTAAACTTATGTATGGCATCATTCGATGTGGTCACTGATTGTCGGACCGAGTAATGTAGTTAGGTGTAGACTATCTAGTTAGGTACAGTGTGGTTATCGTAACCATTGATAGAGATGTTACATAAGATGACTTAAGATCGATGGCATTGGGACAGATGCACTCACTTGTCTTTTTTTCTCAGATCTTGATTCCCACAATCTTATACTTTCTTTATGTAATCTTTTTTATTACCATTGATGCCGTTAGTATTCCTACCACTCTGGGATATGACTGAGTAATTTTTTCTGGGTATTTCAATGTAGTGTGGGAATGTGAATCGATGTACATGTATATCAGATTTCATGTTGCATATAACTGACTGACTGAAGTGGGAAAGTGTTTAGCTGAAAGTTTTCACTGCAGTGAAAAAGTGAATCCTTAAAACATTTGCTAGTGTAACTTGCTTCACATGATCAAGTGAGCGGATAGATATAAAAATCGTGGCTGGTTTAGGCAATTTATCTCAGTCTGGGTGTTACCGCCGAACGGATAGAAAATATTAGTTGTGGTTTTCGCACGTCTAACGTTTCTTAAATTGTTCTGCGTAACCTCATAATTAAAATTTCTCCGGGTACGTTACCTCTAAATAGCAGGTTCATAAATAGCTCATACCGTTCCGACTTAATTTTGTTTTACTGTCGTAACTAAGCGCTTGCTTATTAAGTTTTGGTCAACTTATGGTTTAGAATGAAGGTGAATCACCTGTAACTTTCAAAAGAACCGGTACCAGTTACACAGGAGATTTAAAGTCTTCACAGTTTCACGTTAAACCAGCTTATCTAAGCGATAAAGGCCGTCGTACTATTGTTTCGCCCCGTGAAGAAGGAGAGGCTTATTCAGATGATGAAAATGATTCTGGTATGCCACCAGTTGATTCAAAGCGTGAATATAACAGCAAACAAATAACTCATTTTGATAAAGAAGAGGGTGAGGCATCTAGTGAAGAGGACCGACGTTATGAGAATTCAAAGCGGGAAAAATCAGGTTCCAGTAAATATCCTCCAGGGAACACAAATTTGACACTTGAGGAACATCAATATCGGAACCGTTTACATGAAAGATATGAACGACGTGAGCGTGAGAAGAAGAGAATACGCGATAACATAGATCCAGAGTCAATGCATGGGTCGAACCAACATGGACGTCCATTATATTACAAAGAAAATTCTACCTCCAGCAGTGAAAGAGAAGGTGTCCACTCTAATCCAAAAGTGGAAGACTCAGAAGTTAATCGGAAGTATCAGTCTTCGAAACAATCGGATTCAAAGCAGAGAGGTAATCGTAATTACAGCTAAAATGCTTTTGTTTAAAATTTCCTTTAAAATAATGGTTTAGAGAATTTAGGATGGATTTTCAGGTTTATACCCACCCAATGCGTAACCCGATATGGGTTGATATAATATGAATGAGTTAGAAGTCTGTGGGGTAGTCAAACCAGGATGTTTCACTAATTCATGAATCCCTTGACTCTTGGTCTGAAATCTATCTTAAGGTTGAGATATTCTGGATCAAAGTGTTTGGGCAATAACTGCAGTCAATCATTGGAGATGTTAGGTGACACTACTGGAAACCATTTTCAGTAGAGCAGCTGTATTCATTCGTCATAAAATCAACAAGATGAGTTATGAAAGGAACTGAATGAAAAGTACTAAGATTTTTAAATTTATTAGGATGTAATGAGCAACTACATCTGAGTTACAGTTATCAACTTGTGGCTATGTCATTTGGGGTTTCTACCGGTTAGTTCCCATCATCTTGAAAACTAAGAACTTTGCGTACCTCTAGACTTCTCGGATCAGCGGTAAGTGCCTCGAGACTAGTGTCATGTTCTGGTTCATCCGACCTTACTAGCTTCAGTGAACAAAAAACAAATAATGTTAGATGCGGGTTATTATGTTTATGTTACAAAATCTGATAGATATATTGTCGATCAGATCTGTTATCTGTCTGTGTTTTACCTGTTAACTGTACTTGGGATTCTGTTATTTCTACATTGTTTTTTCTTTAGATCGTATATTAGTGTCTACGGTTAATCAAACATTAGAAAATTCACCTCAAGACAATCGACAATACAAAACAGCTTTACAAGTAGAACGCGAGGAATATGTGCTAAAATATGGTCAAAATCAATCAAGTTGTGTTACTGTAACTGATAGAATTATTGAATCGCAAACTATTTATACAGATGAACTAAATCCTTCACAATCAGAGATAAATCGGAAATCGAAATCTAAAAAATCTAAACGTGATCGGAAAGAAAAAGAGCAGAAGATGACATCAAAAAGTCGAGAGGTGACAACATTAAAAGTTAAAAAGGAAAGTAAGCAACGAAAAATTCAATCTGGTAATAGTAGTAGTCATTTAGACTACAATACTTGGGAGTCAATTCAAAAATATACCAAACTTCCAGATCGTCATCATGGACCTCTCCAACATAGTCGTTCAGGTTCATTAGATTCCATATCTTCCGCTTCATCTCAACTGAGTAAAGTTTCCGCATACACTGGTTGTTCGTCACACTCATCACCCTTGGGATATCGTAAGTCATCAACATCATTAACAAGTGGTCAACAACTTCGACGCTCTTCTCAATCACCCAATGATCTTGATGAATCATATACCTATTCTAAGAAACGTTATCATCGTGAAGCTAGAGAAACTGCTCCACCACCTGAATCTACACGTCATTATATTGGTCCAAATCAAATATCGGTAAAAATGAAACATAAGCGTAAAGGTGACAAACGTGAAACATCTGAAAGTATTAATTATGGAGTAAATTTGGCTAGTAAACGTGAAAAACTATCACAAGACAATGAAAATCATGAATTACAAATAGACGATTCACATACACATTCAACCACTGGACGCACCAAAAGTAAAATGTCAAAATCTCTTGGAACAGAATCTAGTAAACACAAAAAACACTCATCTAAGAGTTCAAAAATGAAAAACAATCGATCAACAATGAGAAAGATATCATCCACTTCAAAACTGGAAGGAGACTATGAACAAAGTAGTCGCAATCTCTATAAGTTAGTAGTAAATAAACCCGAAGGTGGTGAACAGTATTCAGAAGAAAGTGACTCAGATCCACACAATATCAATGATAATAGCAATATTCGACGAAATAATCATGACATTAGTTATAACAAGATAGCAGATATTGATATCAATGAGAAAGCTGGTGGAAAATCTAAGGAAATGAATGTATTATTTCCTGCTGGAAATAAAATAATTGGGAATGATATAAAAGGTGAATTTAATAGACTACCACCTCCTCCGCGTTATCCGGGTTATTCGGAATCTTCATCTGAATGTGAAGAAGGTGGAGTACCCGATAATGGTTTTTTGGATGATGATGATGATGATGATGACGATGTCAATGATCATAAACTTGATGATGTTGAACTTCATAAAGACGATGATGTTGTTAATGATGATGAAATCAGTTCCTTTAAGAATAAACCACCTGGGAAGCCATTCTATTTCCCATCTATACAAGTAAGGGTGAAATTTTTTATTTTTTATATGTATTAAATAGTGATTATGTATTTATTTTCTACATTGAGTAATTAACAATATCATACTTGTCTGATTCTCAACACTAATTTAATTCCATTGATCAAGTTCCAATGTGGTCATTAGTCTGAGTGGTTCTTTATAGCGTCCACCATGTTCTGATGTTTGTTAATTAGAGACAGGCATTAAGAAACCCTAAACTCAAGTTTGATGCTAGTTGGCACTCTAATGAATGGGGTACCTGCAATCTTTGTGGAACTGGTACTCATGAAATTCAAATTCTCCTCATTGAGTGTCTTTATACGAAACACGGTTACATCGTTGTAAAATGCCTAAAATCGACATTGGAGAATAACATGTAATGAGCTAATCGTTAATAGAACATGTTTTTCATTGGAGCAGTGGTTGTGGAAATTTTTGAACTTTCGTTGAAAACCTGAAAGTACTAGACATCTGTTCCGACTTAGTATTGGACACCTCACCAATGCACATCCACAATCTTTCCGTCGGTGATCGAACTCATTACTTTCGGTTGCGCTCACGAACACTCTAACCTCTAGACAACTTAGCCATTGGATCTGGACTCATAAAATAATAATATTGTACATAGCCACGATTATGTTACGAGTAAGGAGATAGAAATACATATAGTAGGTGAATTACTAGATGTCATACTAATGAGATACACATGGGCATTTTCATAGTTAAAAGTAATATTGAAACCTTAATCTGCATCTTTGTTAGAGATACAGCTAATTGGTTTGATCACTTGTTTTTTCAACGCCTCACCTACTGGTTAGTATCAATAATTTCATCGCTGTTGTTAAGTTTAACTTCTGGGTATAATCATGGACGTATTTCCATAAAATAAAGTAAGCTAAATCACTTCTCAATCCATTCCATTAATCCTCTCCTTAGACTTTGATCCATACCATAATCTATGTCTTTTTGATTGTCTTTCTCGTTTGATCTTTTTTAGGGTTGTAGATCAGTAGAAGAATTTGAATGTCTCAATCGTATTGAAGAAGGCACTTATGGTGTTGTCTATCGAGCACGTGATAAAAAAGTGAATGAAATTGTTGCATTGAAACGTTTAAAAATGGAGAAAGAACGTGATGGTTTCCCAATTACATCATTACGTGAAATAAATATGTTAATGAAAGCTCAACATGAAAACATTGTTACTGTACGTGAAGTAGTAGTTGGCAGTAATATGGATAAAATCTATTTAGTTATGGATTATGTTGAACATGATTTAAAATCGTTAATGGAGGTAAGCAGGTGGTTCGGTTATTGCTTTTGTTTTTTTTCTGGTTAGCGATTTTTTAGCGAGTTAGTTTTCTACGGGATGTGGTTGCTAACCCCATGCCCAACCCTCCTCCTTTATCCGGGCTTGGGACGAGCAGTAGCCCCAGAGCGGCTCCAGGCGGAGTTTTGTGTTCTTTTACGTAGTATAATTTCATATTTAAAATTACCGACTATTCTTAGCTTAACTCATTGAAAATTGATAACCACTTGACGACTGTTTCATCCTAGCATGGCACTACTCAGCAGTGCGCACCTTCAAACCGGCTGGATATCAAACTCAGCACTTCAGGTCTCTCAGCGAGCTCTCTATCTTTCGATCACTGATTCAGAATCAAGTGATTTTCATTCTTAACTTCAATCGATTTGCGATATTACAATCGAATAATCCAATCCAGCTGGTAGATACTTGCTGCTTGTCTAAGATAATTGTACTCTTATGAATACGGTCTCTTACTAGAGCTCCCGGAATCGCCTCGGAATCGGTCACTAGCGAGCACACGATTATTATTAGTTGCATAATTCATTCATACAGCTTTTGTATTTCATGTTGCACATTGACTAGGTATATGTTATATTTACTTGACTGTGAACGAAATCATTTGTGTTAAAAGTTACGGACACTAGTACTTGGTTGCTTAAACCGAAGTAAGTAAACCGTATCTGTGAATTATCATTTGAAAGCTGACTGCTTTAATCAATTGGCCACCGCTCTAGAATTTAAATATGTAATAATAAATATCGTTTACTATATGTAAAAGGTTTTTTCTTATTGAGTTCTAGTTGGCTAGAACTCTTCAAATGAACCAATCTTTGATCACCGGCTACTATGGGACTGCATCTCTTTAAGAAAACCACCTGTTTTGGTTTGGGCACCTGAGCAGTACCACAGTCCTCACACAAATCAAATGAGAGTTTTGTGGCAGTATTTATGTGTTCAAATAAATAATTAAGTATCTAATCCAGTTGTGGATTGCAGTTCAAAGGATAAGAAAGGTTCTTAATTATCAAATGGGTTCTCACACTACCGAATTATTGGTATATGCTTTCAGTAAACTGACATAAACAAGACAGTTCCCCAACAGAATAGATTTTTTATGTAATAAAATGACATATTTGTTCACAAAATATTAACACAAAGTAAACACGATCAGGTGTCACAATCGATTGGTTACTGTCAGTTTTTGACGATCCCTAACTCTTTAATGAATTAAAGTCTTTTGTCCATGGATATTGTTTTCGTGTAGTTCAAACTGAATGTTTCTTTTTTTTGTCCTGTTGGAAAATAAACGTCTACTCTCTTATATACACAGTCCAATGTTTAATCCATTCTTCTGTGTTTATAACTAGTATCTAATTCTTTATTTACTCTTCTACAGATTATGAATGGTCCTTTCAGTGTTGGTGAAGTGAAATGTTTACTTGTACAATTACTAAGAGCAGTTAGTCATCTACATGATAATTGGATATTACATCGAGATTTAAAAACTTCAAATCTTCTGTTAAGTCATCAAGGAATTTTAAAGGTGAGTTATCATTATTGTTTAAGTAAATTGTCCAATTTGTTCATTAGTAGTTATTCAAAACACTTTCTTTTACTGATTGAATGAAAATGTAAAATACATCTATTTTTAACATGTTCGGTACTACTGATATAAACAACATATGTCTGTCATCTTGAAACATTTCATATATCTTCCGAGCGAGCGAGAGATTTGACGTCCTTAAAATAATTTTGTCCCAAACTAACACTACTTAAAGAATGCTATTGGGAATACCGTTTAGTGATAGTGGAGAAGATTTGTAGCTTAGGTGGATGATTTTGATGGAGTTTTGTTCTCTGAGCTGGATGGTTTGGTCGTGGAGCTTTCATCGTTCTTCTGAACGATATCATCAGCACAAACTTCAGGTAGATCTCTACCTATCCAGCTCATAGAAGAAAACTCCATCAAAACAGTTTAGCCTTTATCTGAGACTCCGCAGAAGTGCACCAACGCTTGAATCTAGTACCTGTAGAACTCTGTACAAGCGTATAACTTTTAGACTATTGAAAGTTGGAACTCAATCTTTCATGTTTACTATTTTGATCGCTTTGTGTTCATTTCGGTGCAATCGTTTTATTCCATGGCCTACTAAATGACGCATTTGGATACTTTACCAAAAAAAAGAGTTTTAGAACTTTGCTTATTGACTATCTCCTGTCATTTATTATCAACCTTAATTTAGTCTATTCGTGTAAATTACTCAGCCTAAGGATTAGATCATAAACTTGACCAGTTGATCTTACTTGACATTGATCTTGACTATAGTCAAGATGTGGATTAATGTAGAAATTGTTAGTTTTAATTTTTGAAAACCTCATTGTTATTTCATTTTACTTTTTTGCATGTCGATTACTATAGGTAGGAGATTTCGGCTTGGCTCGTGAATATGGCTCTCCATTGAAACATTATACAGAAGTTGTTGTCACCTTATGGTATCGAGCACCGGAGCTGTTACTAGGTAGTTTTAATTGCTGTTTTTTCTCGTTTGTTATTTTTAAATCTTAATCAATAGATTTAATCATTAATTGGTATACTAATTCACGTCTTAGATTCACGGAGCAGTCGGTGTTTTATGGTGTAGGAGTAGGTTGGAAGAAAGCTAGTGGCGGCCAGAACAAAACATGGCACAAATCCATGAAGTCACTGACAAGTGGACTGAGTCATGTTGTTAGGTGTAGGCTACCTAGTTGGGATCCGCGAGATGATAATAACAACCAATGGTTAGAGACCTTGAACGACATGGCTCAAAATCGTTTGCAATGGTATGCGCAGATGCATCCACTCTTTGTGTTCACCCAAATTCTATTCTTCTGAATTCTTCATGTCCCTTTTCCTCTCTTTCTAAATTTATTTCACTGTATTATACTCCTTGAATAACATCTTCAAACCCTAATGTTTCCGATTACTGCTTATATTTTTACTACCTCTACCACTATGGGATTTGAATAGACATTTGTATCAGTGTGGTAATGTGGTATGACAACTTGAACTGATGTACGTACGTATGAAGTTCTACGTTGTTGCAGACTGACTGACTTAGATTCACTGATTGTTTTTATTATTAAGTTTTTTTTGAAGTCCTTAAAATATTTCCAGTCGCAAATAGCAAATTTAAGACGTAAAATCTTAGCCTGTACTGTTTGACTGTACTTAGGTGGAGCGGTAGTAAATTGTTTCTTACTTGTATTCAGCATCTCCGAATGACGCTTTCTCAAGAAAATGGTAAGAGAAAATTCAAAACACGTCAACCATAAAGAAGAGAACTTCCTTGGCTCACAAATTTCTAGATTTTATGCCAGCCCAATCCAACATGTGACTGGAATTTTGATATAATAATGAAGGAATTAAAAGGTTTGGCGGCATTCTATAATAGTTACATGATAATACAATACTCAACAATATACTAGATTATGCGACCCAGTATCAGACTATGTACTCGCTCGACATACTGATTAATAGATCAGCAGGTTAGATCATTGAAAATTCGACCGACGATTGAGAACCAAATTAAACTAGGCAATAGTTAATTGACACAAATTACAAACACTTAACACAGTGAAATCCCATTAGAAATCAATCATGAATGAAATTAATAATATTCTATAATTTCATGGATTTAACGTAGTTGAATGATTCGTTACGTTTCTCTTTCATCGACATATCAAACTGATTCCCCTAGTGTTTCATACATATCTATATTTATTTATTTATTTATTTCAACACATAGATATTGGTACAAAGAGGCACCAAAAACATATGCGCCACACAAATCTCATTCGATATGTGTGAGGACTGTGATACTGCCCGGGTGCCCAAACCGAAGCAGGTGGTTTTCTTAGAGAGCCACTCCCCAAGCCTTCGACCTGAAGGTCTGATCCACAAGGCAGTGGAGCATCGTGAGGAGATGCAGTCCCATGGTAGCCGGTGACCAACAATTGGTTCACACGCCATTTGTTCTCGCAGGATATTGGAGCCCATGTGCACCGTTGGTTTGGAATCCGGTTGAAGCGCCGTACATTCACTTTTCGTCCTCTTATTTTCGTAAACAACATCTGTGGTGCGAGAAGGCAATGAGTAGGACTTTCCTGACAGAGGCTATATACGCGTGGCCATGTGAGAGCATTTCGAGAGGGAGAGCGGACCCTCCCCACTCTCGGACGTACCAGGGCATTTGGGGGCGCATACATATCTATTGTTAATGAGTATGTTATAGTTGATGCAGTTGGCATTTTAGATGTTATTCACTAACCTCTGTCGTTTGTATGAATTACTACCATATTTTTTGTTGTTGTTGAAAAAAATAGGTACCAAACAATATACTTGTCCAATTGATTTATGGTCAGTTGGTTGTATTTTCGCTGAATTCTTACTACAACGACCATTATTCCCTGGGAAAGGCGAAGTGGATGAATTAAATATTATTTTTCGAGATTTGGGCACACCAACAGAACGTATATGGCCAGGTGTATCTCAGTTGCCTGGAATTAAAAAATGTGTTTTTACTGAATATCCGTATAATCAATTAAGACGAAGATTTACTGAAAAACAAATATCTGATCAAGGCTTTGATTTATTGAATAGGTCAGTTAAAAGCGGTAATTTATTTTGTGTTTAGTTGAAGAGGTTTTGTAAGGATTAATCTGTTTTGTAGGTTTCATGTGTCACACATTGATGTCAGTCTAGGTACTTTTATAAATCAATGCACACTGAACAGCTATTTCGTCTTATTACAGGATTGTTCGGTTTTGAGCAAGTACAACTCATATCAAGGACCGAACCCACTGTAAGACAAGACTGTAGGCAGGAGGCATTCATCTTTATTGTGAGAAGTTAAAAAGTATTTACCTAATACATATATGCAGCTTTCAATCGTCCATTCGCGTTTTCCGGTATGTTCAAAAGACCTCACCCGGAGCCTTCGACCTAGAGGTCTGATCCACAAGGTAGTGGAGCAAGGTCATGGCATTCACTCCCATGGTAGCCGATGACGAACAATAGGTTCATACACCATTTGTTCCCTCAGGATCCTGAAATCAGCCCATGTGCATCATTGGTTTGGAATCAGGGTTTTCCAATTCCACTGGGGGATCCTCCGTGTCCACCAACCCGGTTAGATTGCCGGACATTCACTTTTCATCCTCTGAATTTCGTAAACAACAGTAATGCCACTAGAATTCCGTGAGTAGGACTTCCGTGGCAGTGGCTGTATGCGCGTGGCCATGTGAGAGTATTTGGAATGGGAGAGTGGACTCTCCCCACTCTCGGTCGTACCAGGGTATTCGGGAGTTGTGCAACCTATGCAACTTAAATCGCAGTTGGTTTGCGATATCAAGCGACGATCATCCAATCCTATTTATGATAACTGTTCCACTCCCCGCATGCTTGAACTTCACCCATCATGACTTCATGCTAGATCTTCAGAATCATCTTGAAGTAGGTCACTAGTGATCTGAATATTGAAGTTTAATTGAAAGGGTTTTGTAGAGATTGGTTTTAATTTGTAGATTGTACTTGTCCAGTGCTCAGTAGTTTTCAGTAGTATTCCGACTGGAATCAATTTGTGACAATTACAATCTATGAGGTTTAATGCTATTTTTTTAATATCTCTAGCTTTTGGTATAATTTATACAAAAATTACTGAGGTCACCAATACCATAGAAAACTGTAAACAATGAAAGGTATAAGATGTAAAGTTTCTGAATATATTCATATCTTAAATCATTCTTTTTATTAATACAGGACCAATAGGACTGTAGGACAACTCATTAATTTTGTCTTATATGATGTTATATCTTTAACAATATTTCAAACCCATTCTTCTCGTTGTTTGTGATTTTTCATTTGTTGTTATTTGAACCAGTAGAATTTATTATATTCTATTGTATTCCTTCAACTGCTGAATAGTAGTTATCAGTTGATCCTCAACTACAGTTATGACTGTTTAGTTGTTCTAACTTTTTGTAAGCTTAATGAAGATCTTCGGTGCATAATTGCAGAGTGACACGTACTAACCGCCACTGATAAATTCAACACTGTAATATCAAACTGTACTAACAAATATTTGAGAATGATATGAATTGACTGTGAAGTACTTGTCTGTTCTTCAATCGTATTCAAATACTAATGTAATTGATATAAGGTACTTGAAATGGTTAGGTATAAATTTAAATTCAAGACGTTTTAATCTCATTTGTAACAGATATGTTTTTTAAGTTGAAGTTAATTGAAAAGTTCTTATAGATGATTGATTTCTTTAACATTTATTGTCTTTACAGCTTCCTTACATATTGTCCAGATAAACGGATTACCGCAGAAAAAGCACTTGTTCATCCATATTTCAACGAACGTCCTCGTGCTATCCATCCATCAATGTTTCCAAGTTGGCCAGCAAAGTCTGAAGGTGGTGTTGCAGTGAAAAGAGCATCACCTAGAGCACCTGCTGGCGGTGGTGCTCTGGCAGCGGCTGCAGCTGCTGTTGCTGCTGCCGCAGCAGCAGCGGCATCATCATTGGCCACAACAAGTGGTAGTCGTGTAAGGTATCAGCCTCCGGCGCCTCCTATGGGAGGTCAACGGTTTTATAGCAATATGTCGGATTCACGTCCAGGTACAGCAAATCAAGGATCAGGTGATGCTTTTACTACTAGTGGTGTAGATAAAGGATTCTTACTGCGTTTTTGAACTGTTCCTATTGTTAGAAGTTCAGATATCCTCTCTTTCCCTTCCTCGCTTTCTCTATATCTCTCTTTGATCCAATTCCTTGTACAGAAAAGACTTAAAACTCTTGCTTTTGGATTGTAACTTGTTCCTAAAAAAATGTATATGTATTGTATTAAAAAAAAAACTTATTTTGCCATTTACTGTTTTCTTTTATTAACTAACTACTTTTGTTTGAGTTGTATAATGTTATGTTATGGGTTATTACGAATTGTGTTATAGAACTCCGGATAAATTTTGCTGTGTATTGTTGTTTCTATCGTATATGTTTGCGAGTGTAGATAATCGATTTTATTTATCCTAACCGAATTTAGCCTAATTTTCTATACAATAATCATCCATATCATGTGTAAAGAACTCTTCATATAAAGTGGTCTGATTAAAACATTTAAGCTATCTGTTTTCCCAGTCTTCAAATTTTTCTGTTAAATATGTTCATAAGTTACTAGTATTTGATCATAGGTACTTTCAAAGCATTGCTTGGGTTTGTTTGGACAACTTAGTGAACAGTGCTGAGGTTAGGCTCAGATTACTGGGTCGAACTGACAATTCAATTGATGAGGTAATGAGTTTCCATCGAAGTGTATTAGATATTCTCGATCATCATCGTTTATCTCGGCTGGCGATGTATACTAGTTTAAAAGTAGGTTAGAAAAAAGTTGTCAGCTCTGCATCAAGAAGTGTGTTCAGTCCGTGAAGTCCGTATCTAATAGATTAATCCTTCCGAATAGTAACATGCTACTTGAATAGGGTCCTTTCGATTAGTGGTTGGATACATTGGGTGAAATGACTCCAAAGCGTCCTAATGGTGCAGATAGGTTTAATCTTTGTCTTAAAATAGCTATATTATTACACCGCAAATGTATTCCTAAATCGATACACATTTCTCGTATTCTATATTTTTGACTGATTTAAGTTGACTGATATACTGTTCATTTTTACCGGCTAGTGTACGAATGTTATTTCATGAAAACCATCGCAAGTGCTTAATACTAAATAATCTCAGCTCAGCTTTCAGTGGTTGCTACATTTTATACATCGTTTGTTCTGTCTGTCTGAACCGTGTTAGTAAGTATATTGCTTGTTGTAGGTATCAGGTTATAGAGATTGTTGAATTTCATTGAAATCTTGAACCGGAAGCACCAAACAAATATGCGCCATATAAATCATTGGATTTATATGAGGACCGGGATACTGCCTGGGTGCCTAAACCGAAATCTTGAACCAACCTAAGTTAGACCACCATTGAAAACCTGGGAGCACTGGATGGCTGTTTTTTTCGTAATATGCAACTCCTCAACAGTGCTAATCCGTGATCCATCACACTTCCAGCTTTTCAATGGTGTCCTTAGATCGGTTCAACTTTCAATGATATTGTCTTTTGTTAACTAACCATTCCTATGAGCGCAAGTGTGACAAGGGGACAGTATTCATCAACATAGAGTTTTGCGTCCGATTTGTACAGTTCGATACTCATCAGCATGGTATATCTACGATTTAAAGCCAACAACAGAAACATTTCTCTCTATTATATTTATTAATGGCATATGCATATATTCTCTTTCTTGTTTCAGTAGTTACCTCATCTGTTTTTCACAGTTATCGGTTAATTGGTTGGTGATCAATGAGTATCATATATGTGGATGGAATCATCGTATCATAGTTATCTGAAACGATGACATTGTTTTATACACCACAATCATCACTATTATCATCTTCATCTTCATAGTTATTGCATAAGGGCAACAACACCAATATCTTTGATATAACAAATGATTTTATCTGATGATGATGATTTTAATTTCACTTTTGATGAAATACAAAGAGAATTAACTAATTTAGGTGTAGTCGGTTTAAATAATCAACAATTAATTCACTTAAAAAATGATTTAGATTTATTAATTAATAGAGAGAAATATGCGTTACATCATTTCAACCACCACCACCACCACCAGCAACAACAACCATCTCAATCAGTAACAACTAATGGTATTTCTATGAATGATGGTGATACCTATCAACAAATTGATGATAATAATCATATTACTACTGATAATTCTAAAAGAATTGTATCGTATCTATCTAAATCTCCTATCGTTTCCTCTTCTTCTTCTCCTCCTCCTCCATCATCATCATGTTTTTCTGTGACATCTGAGGACTTTACACATTATAATACAAACAGTTATGATTGTAATAGCGTGAACAATCCATTAAAGAAATTCAATGATCATACAATACTAAATGATTCAATTAAAGTAAGTAATTGTTTACAATTTGTTTAGTTCACTTTCATTAAATACATCTGAAGTTAAGTACAATACACCGCTGAAACCTAAGGTAAATACCACTAAGCCAGTGTAAATGCAGTTTAGCATGAAGTCAAGTGCATGCTTTATTCAACCACTGAAGTCTCGGGTAAATATTACTAAGCCAGTATACATGTAATCCAGCACAAAGCCAAGTGCATGCTTCATTATATATTTTTGAGTCATGATAACAATACTGCCCACTCCGATGCAGCATGGAATGATATCCGAAAAGCTGTGGAAACAGCAGTGATATCTGCTAGTAAGGTAAACCAGAAGGTTAGGGAGCAACACTGGATCTCAGCAGCATCTATCGCACTGATAGATGCTTGGAAACTCATTCCACCTGGCTCTGAACATAATGAAGAGCGGAGTCAGCTTAAGCGCAGGCTGGTAATAAACTCACTCAATGATCGCGAACAGTGGTGGGTAGCGAAAGCAAGAGAGATGGAAAGGGCAGCGGCAATAGGTAATAGCAGACAATTGTTCAGACTCGTTAAGGAAACCGGAATTAGGAACCCGACCGTTAGCGAAACAATCTCAGAGAAAGATGGACATATTATTCATTCTCAATCCAGGAGATTGGATCGATGGGCAGAACACTTTATGGATCAGTTCAACTGGCCTTCAGCCACACTTCGGTTTCCCACGATCTCCAGTCAACCTGAATGGCAAGTTAATGTAGGTCCTCCGTCCCTTTACGACGTTGAAAAAGCCATAGGAAATCTGAAGCGAGGGAGAGCAGCAGGCCCTGACAGGTTTACTCCTGAGATTTTTAAGGATGGTGGTCCAGTATTAGCAGCGAGATTGACCGAGGTCTTAGGTAACCAAAGCTCGTGAAGAACAGACTAGAGAAAATCAGGCTGGTTTTCGACCTGGACGTGGTTGTATAGATCAGATATTCACACTTCGTCAGGTCCTAGAACACAGACACACATTCAGACGCCCCACAATGGTAGTATTTCTCGACCTTAAGGCGGCATTCGACTCTGTCGATGGTAAGGTTCTGTGGCAGTGTTTGTCACTGAAAGGAGTACCAAAGAAGTACATTAACCTTATAAAGGCTCTCTACTCGAACACAACTGGTAGAGTGAGAGCTTATGGCGAACTGTCATCAGAATTGATAACCTCGAGTGGTGTTCGTCAGGGCTGTCCACTCTCCCCATTCTTGTTCAACTTTGTCGTTGACGTACTTTTAGAGATAACACTTTCCTCATCTAGATTTCCAGGGGTTGAACTTCTACCGGGAGGTTCACTTGTTCACTTAGAATATGCTGATGACATTGTTTTATTTGATGAAGACGCTGACAAAATGCAGAGTCTTCTGACCACTCTAAGCAACAATGCAAGCATGTTCGGGATGCGATTCACCCCCTCGAAATGCAAAATGTTGCTTCAGGACTTGGTTACATCGACACTCGAACTAGTGATAGGGAGTGAAGTAGTTGAGTGTGTTGACCGCTTCACTTATCTTGGAAGTCTCATCAGCGCTTATGGTCTGGTGTGTGACGAAATCTCAGCACGGATACAGACGGCTCGCATAGCTTTAGCCAACTTGCGTCATTTATGGCGTAGGCGAGATATCCGTCTATCAACCAAAGGACGTGTTTACTGCGCAGTAGTTCGTTCCGTCCTACTTTATGGCAGTGAAACATAGTCGGCAAGAGTAGAGGATATTCGTAGGTTACTAGTATTCGATCATAGGTGTCTTCGAAACATTGCTCTTATATCCCGGGACCATCGAGTAAGTAACACAGTTGTTAGGAAACGGGTACTAGGTAAGGATGGCAAATCAATTGATGAAGTAGTGAAACTTCATCAGTTGAGATGTCTGGGACACGTGTTACGTATGCCCAACGACCGACTGCCTCGATATGCTATGTTCAGTGGTATAGGAGTAGGTTGGAAGAAGGCTAGAGGCGTCCAAACCAAAACATGGCACAAGTCCATGAAGTCACTGACAAGTGAACTGAGTCATGTTGGTAGGTGTAGATTACCTGGTTGGGGACCACGAGATGATAGCAATCGATGGTTAGAGAGCCTGAATGACATGGCTCAAAATCGTTTGCAATGGTGTGCGCAGATGCATCCACTCTTTGTATTCTCCGAAATTCTAATCTTCTGAATTCTTCATGTGCCTTTTTTCCTCTTTCCAAATTTATTTTATTATTATTATTATTATCAGCTTTATTCAATATTATATTTTTGGTACAATATAGAATTCTCAGCGTAAAGTATTTCAACAAGTTTCCGTTTCTTTCTTCTTCGTCGGTCCTGGCGATAAATATTGAGTGATCGCCAGTTAGATGTTAGCAGTTCACTAAATGAACATCTGAATAATATGCATTCTTTTGGTTGTATATTGCCAGCAACCACATTGTCTCTTATTGAGTTGTTTGTAACTTTGACAACGAAAGGTTGTACACTTTTCAGAAACGCAGCAGAATAGGTTGTGCGATTAATAAACATAATGATATATTAAAACAAACAAAAATAGATAACTTGTTGAAATATCTAGATGACAGGAACAGGTAGCCCAGATGCTCAAGCAGGCCTGTATTATACTCTTTAAATAACATCTCCAAACCCTAATCTTCCCGATTACTGCTTATGCTCTTGCTACCTCTACCACTACGGGATTTGAATCGACAACTGCATCTCTGTGCTAAAGTGATGTGGCAACTCGAACTGATGTACGTAAGTACGAAGTTCTACGTTGTTACTGACTGACTGATAATAATACTTCTACTTGTTCACCTACGAAAACCTTGTTACAACTTTTACTTTCTCTAAATAGTCAAATTAGGCCATCTTCTCAGCATCAGTCGAGCGGCAATGCCACTATAACGACACAAATCCAACGGCTTTACTAAACCATTTAATCGGTAGTAACGATGGGCGGTGTGTGTGTGTGTGTGTGTACAATTTAATAGTTACTCATAATTAAATTGGCTTAATTTAATTGTGCAAAATCTATTGAAATCAGTTCAAATTATACACTAAAGTGTTCAGTAATACAACAATGATCCGACTTTGATAAATCTATATTCATAGTCTACTTCAAATCGATTGAACGTTGAGAAAAGATCTATGAAAAATGGAAGAAAAACCCTTATCTAATTTTTGTATTTTGGAACACCTCTTTATTCAATCTTAACGGATGAGTATATATTTGTGAATATACTTGGAAATATCTCTGAATATTAAGTTATTATGAAAAAGAAATTTATATCAACCATATTGTCAGTCAGTAACAACATAGAACTTCGTACTTACGTACATCAGTTCGAGTTGCCATACCACATTAGCACAGAGATGCAGTTGTCGATTCAAATCCCATAGTGGTACAGGTAGTAAGAGTATAAGCTGTAGTCGGAAAGATTAGGGTTTGGAGATGTTATTTAATGAGTATTGTTCTTTTGCTTTTTAAGACAATAAAGGGGATTAATTGTGCAAAACATACTTGTACTTAAATAATTATCAAACTTTTTATTGCCAATTGTTTTATCACAGTTCATGTGAAATACTTAGAAATAGTGTAAATATGTACATGGAATCTTGTTTTTGGAGGGATGTATATTGCTTTGATTTTTCTTCTGAACGACATCATCAGCACAAACTTCAGATAGAAGTGAAGTGTTTGAGCTTCTCCACATTTGATTCACAACTTGTCCTGCAGACCTCGATGTTGATTGGTTCTTGTTGACAGGTTTAAGTTCAACAAGAACCAATCAACATCGAGGTCTACAAGACAAGCTGTGAACCATATGTAGAGAAGTTCGATCACTTCACTTCTACCTGAAGTTTGTATTGATGATGTCGTTCAGAAGAACAATGAAAGCTCTATGACTAAACTGTCCAACTCAGAGAACGAAACTTCATCTAAATCATCTACATAAGCTACAAATCTTCACCATCTCAAATATATTGCTCTCTCCAATGTTCGAAAAAGTACTTTTAATACAATAATCAGGACATTTTCTATTAAGCTGTTGTTTAAGATACGTTCTCTTAGGTAGTTTATTTCATTCGTTCATATCTTGCCAATGACAAACTCTAAAATTGGATTAACTGGATTATCATATGTTGGTAAATAAGTATCATTCATTCGTAGCCGAATGACCTAAATTAAAAAATCTACGATTTCTATTGAGAAAACTCATATGCTACTTCTTTTCAATGTATTCAGTTTCCTCAAAATTGTGATGTTGTTGTGTTGTCATCGATTCACTTTGACTAGTCAACATGTAAATTGTTATGTAATATGAGATTTAAGAGAATTTACGGAATAAATATAATCAAGCAATCAGTACATGCATGTGTCTGTAATTATATTGAATGTGAATTGATTCACAAGCGAAATCATTACAACTTCACTTATCTTGAAAGTTTGATCAACTCTAATAGGTTGCTGTCTGATAAAATCTTTGCATGGATTCAAAAAGTTCGTTTGGCTTTTGTCAACTTATGTCACCTATGTCGAAGGTGGGATACCCGTCTATCAATAAAAGGACGAGTATGCTACACAGCAGTTCGTTCTGTTATGCCTTATGGCTACTAAACGTGGCCACTCAGGGTAGAGGATACTCGTAAGTTACTAGTATTTGATCACAGATGTCTTAGAAATCTGCTGGAATCACCGTGTGAGATTAGACGCAGGGTATTAGAGAATGATGTTTAACATGTTAATGAGGTTGTAAATCTTCATAGACTGAGATGGTTGGGCCACGTGTAACGTATACCTGGACACCAATTACTGCGAAGCCTAATGCTGACTAGTGTTGTAGACGGTTGGTAGAAAGTTAGAGGCGGTCAAACCGAAACGTGGCATCAGTGCTTGAAGTCACTAGCTTCTACTTTGAACCATGTTGATAGATGCAGACTGCTCGGTTGGAGTCCCCGTGCCTTTCGTAACCAATGGTAGGAGACTGTGAGTGACATGACTCAGAATCGTCGGTGTCGGTATATACCCTCTTTGTCTCCCCTTAAACTATTAGATTAAAATAGCTTCATATCTTGTTTTCTACGAACTAATTCTTTCTTCCTGTACTATGTCTTTATACACAATCTTTCTTACATACATTACTGCCATTGAAGTAACTGGTTCTACGAATTTGGTGTTCATGTTGTTGTGCTAATGATGTGTGGCAACTTGGATCGATACATTTATGTGCCTAGTCCTACATTGTCGCTGACTGACTGCAATCTTTACAAAAGTGCATAATCTACTTTTTATCTAAATTACAGGCTTTATTAGTAGATATATGTATCATTCTCATTAGTTCCTTTTCTTTTTTGTTTATTCATGTGACAGTGTACATCATCAATAACGAATAATTATTCTCTGAACTTGAATGGAAGAAACATATCCAATGATAGTTCTGTATCGAATGTCGTACAATTATCACCTAAACATCATGATGAACATGATCATTGTCTACATCAAAAACCATATTCTTCAACTGATTCACAAATAACAGCCTGTTTTTCAACAACTAACGAGGCAATGAATAATCTGGACACCACATCGATCTCATCATCATTGTCATCAACAACTCTATTACCGAATGAACCTGAAAGTCATTTTGAAGAGAAACAACAGAAACTTAATCACCATCACCACCACCGCCACCACCAACGTCAACAGCAGAAACATATAGTTCAGTCTGGGAATGAATTGACCAGCAGTAAACAATCTGTAAATTTTAAATATTCTGATGCTAATAGACAACCTATTCATTTTGAATCTTCTATGAAAAATCTTGACTTCGAACACCGTCTAAGTAATGAATTCATACTTACACCAATGAGAATGAAAACATCGTCATCAACAGACAAAAACTACTGTCACCCGAAGTCTGTTTCTAAAGATTCGTCTAATCAGTTTAGAAGATCGTCTGCATATCTTCAGCACCAACATCAACAGGCACGTGATTCTCATCAACATTTGCATGATGATCAAGGAAGTCGGGATAAATTCCATGGAAAATGTGAATCGATTATTGAAAAGGTCACTGCACATACTACAACTAATGCAGATCAACATGACTTTCGTAGTAATAAGTTGTTAGTATCGAATAATAAATTGGAAAAGACATTAGGGTGTAATAAAATTGATGATATTTTAAGTTCTATTAATTATGAACGCCAAAAGTCTACTACTACCACGACGAATTCTTCAAGAAGATCGGCTCGATTTCTTGATAATCCTGTTGAGCAAGTTCACAGTGTACCACAACAACAACGACGACCTCAATCTGCACAACATTGTCAAAAAGGGAATGATTGTTGTTGTTATAATGCTCGATCATTACATTCTCAGAACTTACAAGTATGTATCCCAATTACTGTTCATGATGATCCATTTACTGTATTATATATTTATTTTGATATAAGCTATTCATAAGATCAGCTGCTCTCAATTATTGAGTATCTGATCAACCCTAATGATATTTTATTTGGTATTTTGTAGATTCTGCCGTGATAATATCTTGCAAATCAGGTTAATGTGCATTCTTATATCGTTAACAACTGAAGGAGAGATAAAGTCTTAAGTTCCTATCTGATACTATTCATTATTGAGTTAAAAATTGTATATCTTTTAGTTGCTACCTTAAAATTTAATTCATACTTTAAGTGGTCTTGTTTTTAATAATTTCTCGATGTAGATGGCTTTTGTTCATATTTGAATAATCAGTATTAATTCAAGTGTCCTGATACGGCCGAGAGTGGGGAGAGTTCACTCTCCCTCTCCAAATGCCATCTCATGGCCACGTGCATACAACCACTACCAGGGAAGTCCTTCTCACTGTTGTTTGCGAAATTGAGAGGACGAAAAGCGAATGTCCAACGCTCCAACCGGGTTGGTGGACACAGAGAGTTCACCTAGGGGGGTTGGAAAACCCTGATTCCAAACCAATCATGCACATGAGCTGGCTCCAGGATCCTGAAGGAACGAATTGCATATGAACCAATTATTGGTTACCAGTCACAATGGGACTGTGTCTCCTGACGTTGCTCCATTGCCTTGTGGACTAGATCTTTTGGTCAATGGCTCCTGGTGTAGACCCCCGAGAAAAATACCTGTTTCGGTTTGGGCACTCAGGAAGTATCCTAGCCCTCACACAAATCGAATGATTTATATGGCGCATATCTATTTGATGTCTCCTTGTACCAATGTTTATGTGTTCAAATAGATAAATACATTAATGAAATTTGAACTTGTTTCTCTAACAGTAAAATATCAAGTTACAAAATCTACTCTCATTTGGCAACTGTTAGATGTTCTTATAAACTGTCAACTGTATGGCTTGATTGGGAAGATATTCGTTTCTCTAGGGTTAATAATTTCTTGTTAATCAGTTTGAATTCGGTGGTAAATTCAGAAACTTTGTTGTATTTTTTTATCTTTAGCGACCGGTATCAACTAGTACGCAGAGACAAAAACAAGATCCAGTTACAAAATATCATTCATATCAAAGAAGCTGGTCGATACATTCTACACCCGGTGAAAATGCACGACGTGTTCTACGTTGGAATATAAGAACAGCAATGATGCATAGAGAAATACCATTGTTACAACGTAACTCCTCGGAAGTTATTCGCCTCTTAGGTCCATATGCATCAGCTTATTTGGAGCAAGAAAGACAGAGACGAATTAAAGCTTTACAAGTATGTTTAATGTTTTTACTACAATCAAACGAGGCAATATAACTTTATGCTCTTCCTTGCCTATACTGTATAACTAACTGTTTTCAACTTCATTCCACTCGGTGCAATTAAGAAGAAAAATGTACTGAACTGTAGATATATTCTAAAACTAAATTTCAGATTGTTATGTTTGAAGTGATTACGAGTTCACCTAGTCTGCGAACGAAACAAAGACTCTGTGACCAAAAAGCTAGCTATTCTGATGCTTTCCAGCCCCGCTAACTACAGAGAGAAGTCCAAGTTCGAGAACGTGGAAATATATTCTGCAAGCAGCCAGAAGCACGGGCAATAATAACAGGCACAAATCAAACGTATGTATATATACAGCATAAAATTGTCATTGGGAAACGTTACAAAATGACATACTAAAAGATACAATGAACCAATAGCGTTTAAAATTCTCCCAAGTGGTTATTACAACATGAAGGTTAAAAATTAGTGCTTCTGGAGCGAAAACAAGAAATTCAAATTTCCAAAATGAAATTACAAAATTGAACGACACATCCACCTTTGTCATCAATGAGCTACTGTTTCGCAACTGACTCAGTTGAACTCCACTGGTCACTGGTGGATGTTTTGCTCAATTTTGTGGATTTGTTAAAGTTAGATATTAACACCGTTAGATGCCGGCTCAGTGGTCTAGTGGTTAAGTGCTCGCGCGCGAGACTGATAGGTCCTGGGTTCGAGTCCCGCGAGGCGGGGTCGTGGATGCTCACTGCTGAGGATTCCCACTGTGGGATGAAACCGCCGTCCAGTGATTCCAGGCTTTACATTTACTCATGATTTCAATACTAAAATCTCCACAAAACCCTTTTCTAAAAATTACAAAAATAAGGTATTTACCAAGTGAGTTCTGGGGGATTTATCATCCCCAACACAGATCAAAGGCATAAAATTCAAATATAATTGTTTATACTCAACATATATAGGAGATAATGTTAATTTGTAGATTCATTAACTAGTTCTAATAGTTTTCCAGTTCTATACATTCTCATACTGATTCATTTAGTGTAGGTGATCATTTTTCTGATAGTATAAGTAGTAAGTTATTAGTCTGAATATTAGATCTGAACACTCCTAAATCATTAATGTATGGATGTGTCAAATGTTAACAATACTGTAAAATTTTAGTTAACATTAACCTCTCTGTTTTGTGTACATTATTCCATCGATGATTTGAATTCCAATTCTAACATATTCGATTGTACTTACAGAGTTCTCTCCTATATGAATTTAGTAGTCTATACGTGGTTAATGGAGTATGAATTAGAGAGTTCTGAGTATTACTAGTTAACATGCTGAATTCAAGTACTTCTAATTATTGTAGAGAACTAGTGATGTACTAATACCTAACTATTCAAAAGAAGTATAAAGGAATCCTATAATATGATATGTTTTTCTCCGTTTGAGGTAACTTTTTGAACACGTCAAAATGCCCTGATACGGCTGGGGGTGATGAGAGTCCATTTTCCAAATGTTCTCATATGGCCATATACATATAACTACTGCCAGGGAAGTCCTACTCATTACGTCCTCGTAGCACTACTGTTGTTTACGAAATTGAGAGGACGAAAACTGAATGTTCGGCGCTTGGTAGATATAGAGCATCCACCTGAACACCGATTAGCACGACGCACAATGCTAACCGGTGTTGGGGATGGTTGGAAGAAAGTTAGGGGTGGTCAAACCGAATCTTGCTTAAAGTCACTAACTTCTAGTTTGATAGATGCAGACTACTTGGTTGGTGTCCGCGTGACTATCGTAACCAATGGTTGAGACTCTGAGTGACATGACTCAGAATCGATCACAATGGCGTCGGTGTATACACTCTTTGCCTTCCCTTAAACTACGAGATGAAAATCGCTTCATATCTTTCTTTCTACCAACTAATTCTTTCTTCTTGTACTATATCCTTATATACAATCCTCATTTTATATATTACTGCCATTTAATTAACTACTTCTATCAATCCGGTGTTCATGTTGTTGTGCTCATGCGGTATGGCAACTTGGACCGATGCATATATATGCCTGGTCCTACGTTGTAGCTGATTTACTGACTGACTCATCTAGGAGAGTTGGAAAACCTTGATTCCAAACCAATGGTACACATGAGCTCGCTCCAACATCATAAGGGAACAAATGGTGTATGAACCAAATATTGATTACCGGTTACCATGAAATTTCATCTCCTAACCTTACTCTACTACTTTATGGATCAGACTATTAGGTCGAAGGCTCCGAATGTAACTCCTCAATAAAATCACCTATTTCAGTCTGGGCATCAGAGCAGTATCGCACACACGCACACAATTTTATTCATTTACTAATATTTGATAAATATCATCTTATCAAAAGGGGTTTGTGGAGATTTTAGAAATTTTCACAGATTGAAATCATGAGTCAGTTGAAGCTAGATCACCAGTGGAGTTCAACCAGGTCTGTTGTGAGATATCAGCTCACTGAAGACAATGATATATGGTGGCGCAACTTCGTGGATTGGTTGAAGTTAGACATTAACACCGTTGGATGTCGGCTCAGTGGTCTAATGGTTAAGTGCTCGCGCGCGAAGCCAGCAGGTCCTGGGTTCGAGCCCCGCGTGGTGCGGGATCGTGGATGTGCACTGCTGAGGAGTCCCATACTAGGACGGAACGGCCGTCCAGTGCTTCCAGGTTCTCAATGGTGGTCTAGCTTCAACTGACTCATGATTCCAATCTGTGAAAATATCATCTTACTTATATGTTTATTACATATTTTTTCTTTATCTTTCTGTTCATAGCTTGATTATATTCCACCAACTAGTAGACGTTATGATGAATTACGTCAAATTATTCGTTCATTAATGGGATAAATTTAATAAAAGTTATATATTAATCAAATTAACTGAATAATCAAGTTGTTCTATTCATTGTATAATCTCATTGAATAATTTACACTTGGTAATATATTTCATCTAGATATATATCTTTCTTTATAAGAAGGATCTCACATTCAAGAAGGACTGATATCTTTTTTCACTTGAAAATGGTCATATATCGTATTTACTTTCTATCAACCGGTGTTATCATTATCATTCCATTGATCCAATTGTTTAATAAACAATCTATTTGACTTTTTTGTTTTTCATCAAGTCGTTGTTGAACTATGTTGTTTTTGTTGTTGTTGTTGTTGTTGATGATATATTGTGCTTTTATTTAGATACCATTGTCATGTATCTTATATGATGAAATTGAATGTGAAATGAGAAGGAGCATTGAAAGTTCTCGTATTGTTTTTAATGTTGTTTGTTAATATTGATATTGTATTGTAGTTTTTTTTCTTTTTTTCCTTTTTTTGTTTCTTAGTTTTCTTTCTTTTTTTTGGTGTGTATGTTTCATGAAAAGGTTTTTTTATAGTTTAACTTTACAATAATTTTCATTAGTAGATCATCTAAATGTTTACGTCTTGACCGTTCAATCAGTCAGCTACAATGTAGGATCAGGCACATATGTACATCGGTCCAAGTTGCCATAATTGATTAGGACAACAAGATGAACACCAGATTCATAGAAGTAGTTACATTGATGTATTTGTTGGGCTTACATATCGTGATTACCTAAACGAGGTTTATTGACTAGAACATTTTGTTCCTTTTGCTTTGACTATCTCATTTAGGTTGGTTGGTGTGTCATAAAAGACTTAAAGCGCCAAGTTTGTGGTTGGTGAGTTATGTCGTATTTTCAACGTGAGACAGTTCTTTCTTCAGTTGTACGGTAACGTTTCCAGTTTGTCAAAATCACTCCTAAGCTAACTTCATTTTCATTTCTTTTTCACGATATTGTCAATTGAAAAGTGGCAACCATCTACACACCTCAAATCTGTACGTATATCAATATTTCAGTATGCTAAAAAAAAGCTTTGGAAGACGTTTTCTCCTGGAGAGGATGGTTAAAAGCCAGATCAATATCAACAACTGTTATGTTTCAAATTAAAACTTCAAGAGATTACACTATTAACTTTATGTGGAACTGAATTTAGTATATTTAACCTTTGTTGTACGCACGATAACTTGACATCACACCCGCAGGTTACGATACAATAAAACAGTCATTGATGATATTTCGCACATTCGACATTTGTGAAATTCATCGGTTATTAGTCTTTATCAGAACTTTATCACTAGATAGCAATTTAAAGGGCTTGAAAGTATTACACTCGTTATATGATCTGAAGGTTCTCTGTTAAACAATACATGGCAAGAGATGTTCAGATTATGAGGACACGTGTTACGTATGCCCAAACACCAACTGCCCCGACGTGTGGTCTTTTATGGTGTAGGAGTAGGTTGGAAGAAAGCTAGTGGCGGCCAGAACAAAACATGGCACAAATCCATGAAGTCACTGACAAGTGGACTGAGTCATGTTGTTAGGTGTAGGCTACCTAGTTGGGATCCGCGAGATGATAATAACAACCAATGGTTAGAGACCTTGAACGACATGGCTCAAAATCGTTTGCAATGGTGTGCGCAGATGCATCCACTCTTTGTGTTCACCCAAATTCTATTCTGAATTTTTCATGTCCCTTTTTCTCTCTTTCTAAATTTATTTCATTGGATTACACTTCTTGAATAACATCTCCAAACCTTAATGTTTCCGATCACTGCTTATATTTTTACTACCTCTACCACTATGGGATTTGAATAGACATTTGTATCAGTGTGGTAATGTGGTATGACAACTTGAACTGATGTACGTACGTACGAATTTCTACGTTGTTGCAGACTGACTGACTGACTATTCATCACTAATATATCAGTTGTCCCATGTTAAAAAAACTTTGCAACTTAACTAAGTAAATAGCGTATGAACAGTTACTTTTAACGCTTTTGTTAGTGGTAAACTCTTACTATTGTGTCAATGCGGTTTACTGTTTGGCGTTTATGTTGCCTTCGTTCAGTATGTGGATAACATACGTTAATCTTTAGAATTATTGATATTTCTCTGTTTATGTTGATCTTATCGTCCTGATTATATTAGGACATAAAGTGAATGTGTATTAATCCATGTTGACACCACATTGCACTTCAGCACAATAGCAGTGGAAATTATAACATGATGAATAATATAGCTGAAGAATGAATATTTAATAGAAATAGAAATTTCAATAGTTGAGATCATGAGTCCATTTGAGGCTAGACCACCATGGAGAACCTAGAAGCACTGGATTGTCGTTTTGTCTTATTGTGGAACTCCTATGTGGCAGTGCGCACATCCACAACCCCGCCTCGTGGTATTCAAACCAAGGGCCTATCAGTCTCGCGCACGAGCACTTAACCACTAGGTCGGGAATATTGTTGAAAAAATAAACGAATAAAGATAAAGCAGTGAAAGATGACGTGCAGAATTCATGATTTAGAAGAAGAAGAACAAGCAGAAGAAAATAGCGGATAGATCTAAATACTCTACGATGAATATCACACAACATCTTCAACCATATATATAATGACTTTTTATTGAGCACAATGACAACAATATGTGATGATTAGATGATTGTTTATTGATTATCTATTATTATCCAAATCATCAATAAGCTTGACTTTTTCATGAAACAATAGATGATGTAATGTCTGATATTTAATAATATAAAATAATTGTGAAATATCAATGTCCTTCGTTTCTTTTTTTTCATTAGAAAATTTATCTTACTAACTAATCATTTAAGTAGTTTTCACCGGATATCGAATTTTTAGAAAGGAATCATATTGAGCAATAGTTATGTTGTATTCATATGAATTTAGAGTATAATATCATATGAAAGGATAGGGAAATGAGGAATGGAAGGTTACAATTACATAGATATAAGCTTCAATCATTCATAGAATCTTTCAATTGTATTTCACATATATAACAATAATATGAAATTGACCAATAAAAAGTTAATGTACATGAAGGGGAACATATTAGGTTCATGTTTATTAGAAATAATTGAAATGAAATGATAAATCTTTTTTTTCTTTCTTAGAAACAAGTATAAAATAATAAATCCGGTATTAATCCTCTATCAACACTACCATTTTCTAAACCATCCCAACTATCATGAAAATTAAATATAACCATTTCATTATTACCTAATAAATAAGTATTCTCATTGAATTTATTTGTTTCTAATCGTTTCTTTCGAATGTTAGATGATGACAATGTTGGTGGTGTTGTTGTTGATAATGATGATGATGATTTCTTATTGATATTTGTTATTGTTTCATTATTATTTCGTTTATTTAATGTTTCTTCCGATGGACAATGTATCATAATTTCAGTGCCACCATAGAAACCAATATAGGATGTTGATGAATTAATTGCTGTAGATGATGTAGACATTGATGCTGGATTATGATGATCAGAATTTGATGTGCTTAAACTTAAATAGTATCGTCTGTTTTTAACCAACTGTAAATGGATTTGGTTTTGAAAAAAAAAGATAGAATCTGTCAATGCTAGTGAAATAGTTTCTTAATGAGTTTACATTTAAATAGTTGTGATCATGAATCAATGAAATCTAGACCATCATGATAAATCTGGAAACCGTGACCAGGGGATCAGTTTATTGAAGAAACCTGATTGAAACTTTAACTATACATTCCCTTATTAAAACAACCATTCATATTTCTCAATAATTCGTGTAAGAAATTAATATTCATTGAAATTAAATAGTTGAATTCATGAGTCAATTAAAGCTAAACCACTATGGCAAACCTGGAAGCATTGGAGAGCCGTTTCGTTCTAGTTTGGGATTCCTCAGTGGCAGTGCGCATCCACGATCCCGCCTCGCGAAACTCTCACTCGGGATCTGTCAATCTCGCGCACAAATACTTAACCTCTAGATCACTGGGCCGATATCTAACGACGTTAATGTCATGTGACGGTTTAGTCAAGACATTTTCATTTCAATGCATAAATTAGAAAGTTTTACTTTAATAATAATAATTTCTATTCTAAGGTCATGTTTCCGTAAGTAAGAAAGAAAATCAATTAATATTAAGTAATACTAAGCGCAATATATAAATTATAAAGATTATATATTCAACAGTTGAATTTCTGAGTCCTTTGAAGTTAAACCATCATGATAAACCTGGAAACCGTGACCAGTGGAGTTCAAACAGGTCTGTTGTGAGATAGTAACTCATTGAAGAGAATAGTGGACGGCGGCACAACTTTATGTATTGGTTGAAATTAGACATGAACATCATTGGATGCCAGCTTAATGGTCTAGAAGTCAAGTGTTCACATGTCAGACTGTAAGAGATCCTCAATTCCAATCTTATAAGGTGGGATCATGGATGCATACTGATGAGCAGTCCCTTACTAGGTCGAAATAGCCATCCAATGCTTCCAGGTATTCCATCATGGTCTAGCTTCAATTGACTCATAAATGTTTTATTATCTAATCAAATTTATTTATGATCATTTAATTACATCACTAAACATGAGCAATTAAGTTTAACGGATAGACAAATTTGTATATGTGTGACTAGATTTGTACACATTTGTAATGGATATCTGCTCACAATAAAATGCAACGCAACCATCGGTTTTGTGCTGTTTTGTTTGTTTGTTTGTTTGTCATTCCGTTAGAAACAAAAAAGGTACTTGAATGTAATTTAAACAAAAACGAAAAATAAATAAACACCTCGAATGATTTAATGTTCTTGAAGCTGGATCACATATTGAACAATTGAATGAATGAATGTGTGTTTGTGTGTGTACGTGTGTGTGTGTGTTTTTGTACGTGATCTATTGTGAATTCGAGATATGAAATTGATTTACAATACTACTAGATCGTTTCTTTTTTTTATCAAAGTAGATATTCTGTCTC